ATGCACAACCGCTTCGTGGTCTACCGGGACCTGAAGGTGAGCGCCTTGCTGTCCCTAGGCTGGGCCTCCGTAGCTGTCCTCTCCTTCCTCTCAGCATCCCGGCCACCAGGCCCAGAGGAGTGAGGCTCCTGGGACATGGCCGCCCCTTGTCTTCCCATCTCCGCCCCTGCCCTTCCCACCGAGCCACTCTCTGGGTCCAGGTTGTGGCTGGGGACAAGAGAGAGGACCCCACCTTTGCCCTTTCCTTGGGGAGCCATCGTCCTCTCCAGTGAAGCAGTGCCCCAGCTGGCATCTTGCCTGGCGGGGCCCCATCCTGAGTGCCCTGGGCAGCTCACTGGGCTTCCTCCACAGCCGGCCAACATCCTTCTGGACGAGCATGGCCACGTGCGGATCTCAGACCTGGGCCTGGCCTGCGACTTCTCCAAGAAGAAGCCCCATGCCAGCGTGTGAGTGCCCCCCACCCTCTCCCCCCCCACCCCTCACCACTCCCGCTCATGGCCCCCTTGCTCCCACAGGGGCACCCACGGGTACATGGCTCCGGAGGTCCTGCAGAAGGGCGTAGCCTATGACAGCAGTGCCGACTGGTTCTCTCTGGGGTGCATGCTCTTCAAGTTGCTGCGGGGGTGAGTGGCCCGTCCCAGGTGGGCAGGTGGGTCGGGGCTAAGAGAAGTTCCTCCCCAATCCAGGTGGGATGCCAGAGGAGGGGAGCCCATAGCTGCCTTGGTGTTAAGGGTGGCACCGAACCTGACTTTGGTCACAGCTCATTCATGCTGCCTGCCTCCCTTTCCCCATTCCTGTCCTCTGACGTTGGTTTTGGCCTCTCTTGCCCAGGCATAGCCCCTTCCGGCAGCACAAGACCAAAGACAAGCATGAGATCGACCGCATGACGCTCACGATGGTGGGTGCGGGTCTCAGCGCAGGGCTGCGGAGGGGGTGGGTGGGGGAGCTCCTGTGAGTGCCAGGGCATGACTCTTGCTTCCCACCAGCCAGCAGAGATCTCGGCCACTGACCCCTACTCTGGCCTCCGAGGCAGACCTCCTGCCCCTAGGCTCTTGTCCTCCCCGTGCTGTTGGAGCACCTGACAGATGGAAGCTGCGCCCCATCTGTCCCTCTGCTGGGGGCTTGGACCCCTCTCTCCCCTGAGCTGGGATGGGGTCGAGGGCTCTTCCTAAGCCCCTGCTAATGTCCCACTCCTCTCTAAAGGCTGTGGAGCTGCCCGACTCCTTCTCCCCTGAACTCCGCTCCCTGCTAGAGGGGTTGCTGCAGAGAGACGTCAACCGGAGACTGGGCTGCCTGGGCCGAGGGTGAGTGCCCTGGCGCCTTGGGCATGCTGCCGGCTGTGCCCCCATGAGGACAAGGGCTGTGTCCCGTCACCTAGAACCCCCTCCAAGGTCGCAGCCTCCTTGGAGGAGCTCACAAGTTGGGGCATGGCCAGCCCTGTCCAATGTTCTCAGGGTGGAGGGGCTGCCCTGGGGGTTGGAGCTGCTGGAACCAGCTGGTAACTGGCTTCCAGAGGGGCCCTTGTCACAGACAATGATAATAGCAGCTTTTTATGTTTATTGAACATTTATTAAGCACTGGGCATAGGGTTGCAAAATTTACCAGTGTTAAAACCCACAACCCTATGATGTAGGAACTTCTGTTCTCCCATTTGAGAGATGAGGAAACAGCTCAAGCTTAAGGAACTTGCCCAAGTTCACAGAGCCAGAAAGTGGCTCAACCAGGAGTTAAGCCCAGGGCTCAGGGTGGGGCTGAGCCCAGATGACTGGCCTCTCCCCGCAGGGCTCAGGAGGTGAAAGAGAGCCCCTTTTTCCGCTCCCTGGACTGGCAGATGGTCTTCTTGCAGAAGGTAACAGTCTGCGGCAGGGACTGGGGGTGCTCTGCAGTCCCACCCCCGAGCTAATGCCCTGTTCTGCTGCAGTACCCTCCCCCGCTGATCCCCCCACGAGGGGAGGTGAACGCGGCTGACGCCTTCGACATTGGCTCCTTTGATGAGGAGGACACAAAAGGAATCAAGGTACTGGGCCTTGCCTGGCCTCTTGTACCTGGGCTCTGATCCTGGCCTGGGGGAGGATCCCTGTCCCTTCTTATCACCCGTGAGACCCTGTGCCAGCCCTGCCAGCTTGTAGGCCTCAGCTCCTCCTCAGCCAACTTCCCTGGGGGTGGCAGTTGCACTGACCATCCCTACCCAGGGCCCTGGGTCTGGGCAGCCTGTGGCTGATGGTATTCCGGCATCTCTGTCCATTCATGTGCCCCTGCCCCATCCACCTGGTAAAGTTACTGGACAGTGATCAGGAGCTCTACCGCAACTTCCCCCTCACCATCTCGGAGCGGTGGCAGCAGGAGGTGGCCGAGACTGTCTTCGACACCATCAACGCCGAGACAGACCGGCTGGAGGCTCGCAAGAAAGCCAAGAACAAGCAGCTGGGCCATGAGGAAGGTGAGGGTCGCCGGCTGCTGCGGCACCAGGCCCCTGCCTGCTTAGAAGTGAGCAGCTGGCTCGGGTTTAAGGAACTCGCCCTGGATCACAGCCAGAAAGTGGCGGCTCTGGGATTGAAACTCAGGCTGGGGCCGGGCGTGGTGGCTCACGCCTGTAATCCCAGCACTTTGGGAGGCCAAGGAGCGCAGATCACTTGAGGTCAGGAGTTTGAGACCAGCCTGGCCAACATGGTGAAACCCTGTCTCTACCAAAAAATACCAAAAAAATTAGCCGGGCATGGTGGCACGCGCCTGTACTCCCAGCTACCCGGGAGGCTGAGGCGGGAGGATCGCTTGAACCTGGGAGGTGGAGGTTGCAGTGAGCCAAGATTTTGCCACAGCCCTCCAGCCTGGGCAACAGAGTGGAGACCCTGTCTGAAAACAACAAAAAAGAAACCCAGGTGGGGCCGGCTGAGTCTCCTCTGTCTCTCACCTCAGACTACGCCCTGGGCAAGGACTGCATCATGCACGGCTACATGTCCAAGATGGGCAACCCCTTCCTGACCCAGTGGCAGCGGCGGTACTTCTACCTGTTCCCCAACCGCCTGGAGTGGCGGGGCGAGGGCGAGGCCCCGGTAAGGAGCCCGTGCGGGGGTCTGGGAGCTGGGCTTCCAGGTGGCCGGCCGGCCCGGCTCTTACCCGCACCACCCATCCCCGGCCCTGCAGCAGAGCCTGCTGACCATGGAGGAGATCCAGTCCGTGGAGGAGACGCAGATCAAGGAGCGCAAGTGCCTGCTCCTCAAGATCCGCGGTGGGAAACAGTTCGTTTTGCAGTGCGACGTGAGTGGGGGCTGGGCTGGGGGTGGGAGGGCCGAGGGGCCAGGCCAGGCAGGCTGGGGAGAGCCCCAGCTAACAGAGCTGGGCTTGGCATGTGTAGAGCGACCCTGAACTGGTGCAGTGGAAGAAGGAGCTGCGTGACGCCTACCGCGAGGCCCAGCAGCTGGTGCAGCGGGTGCCCAAGATGAAGAACAAGCCGCGCTCGCCCGTGGTGGAGCTGAGCAAGGTGCCGCTGGTCCAGCGCGGCAGTGCCAACGGCCTCTGACCCGCCCGCCCGCCTTTTATAAACCTCTAATTTATTTTGTCGAATTTTTATTATTTGTTTTCCCGCCAAGCGGAAAAGGTTTTATTTTGTAATTATTGTGATTTCCTGTGGCCCCAGCCTGGCCCAGCTCCCCCGGGAGGGGCCTGCTTGCCTCAGCTCCTGCTGCACCAACCCAGCCGCTGCCCGGCACCCACCGTCCTGACCCCAGGGGCTGCCCACTCCCAGTGTCTTCCTGTGGGAGAAGAGCACAGCCCTCTCGCCCCTTCCCTGAGGGATGATGCCACACCAAGCTGTGCCACCCTGGGCTCTGTGGGCTGCACTCTGTGCCCACGGGCACTGCTGAGTGGCCCAGCCTCCCTCACTGGGGCGGGCGCAGCACAGGGATCCGACTGAATTTTCCCACTGCACCCCTCCTGCTGCAGAGGGGCAGGCCCTGCACTGTCCTGCCCCACAGCGTTGGTGAGAGGAGGGGCCTGTTGTCTCCCTGGTCCCCAAGGCCTCCCACAGTGACTCGGGCTCCTGTGCCCTTATTCAGGAAAAGCCTCGGTGTCACTGGCTGCCTCCACTCCCACTTCCCCGACACTGCAGGGCTCGGCTGAGAGGGTGGCATTGGCGGCAGGTGCTGCTACCCTCCCTTCTGTCCCCTCTTGCCCCAACCCCCAGCACCTGGGCTCAGGGACCACAGCAAGGCTACTGTGGGTTGGGCCATACTGGCCTCGCCTGGCCTGAGGTCTCCCCGATGCTGGGGCGGGTGCGACCCCTTCTGCCCAGGACGGGGCCGGCCAGGTGGGCGGGCAGCACATCAAGGAGGCTGGCTGGGGCCTGTCAGTGTGCCCCCCACCCCGGCCCATCAGTGTACCCTTGCCCAGGCTGGCCAACCCCACAGCCCACGTCCTGTCAGTGCCGCCACCTTGGGGCGCCGCCTCGCCCACCGCATGCCCCCTCGTGCCAGTCACGCTGCCTGTGTGGTGTCGCGCCTTCTCCCCCCCGGGGCTGGGTTGGCGCACCCTCCCCTCCCGTCTACTCATTCCCCGGGGCGTTTCTTTGCCGATTTTTGAATGTGATTTTAAAGAGTGAAAAATGAGACTATGCGTTTTTATAAAAAATGGTGCCTGATTCGGCTGTCTCAGACTCTTTGTACCTGGTGACTGCTTTTCAGCCTCTGCTGGGCTGGGGCCCGAGGGGGAGGGTCTCGGTGGTACCAGGTCTCCTCCACCACCACGGCTTCCAGGGTGGCCTGCTGGGGCCCAGGCCATCTTCCCGGTGGGGTGAGGCAGTGAGTCCCACTCCCCCTCCTGCCCTTCCCAGCTGGCAGTCCTCCCGCCTAGTGGCTGTCCAGTGCCCATTCCTCACCTTTTCTCAGGGAGGAGAGAGCAGCTTCTGCCACTTACCAGGTAAGTAGGAGGAGGTGCCAGCAGCGTTACATCTGGTGCAGCGTCTGGGCTGACTGCGACCTTCTCAGGCCCACAGAACACCCCTGCACAGCAGGCTCCAAGCTGACGCCCCTCCCCAGAAACAGTCACAAGGCATGTCTGCTCTCTAGATCGCGCCGCAGGCCCTTGGCCATCTCTGGCTTCAGCCTCCTCTCTGTTCTCACTGCACAGCCCTAGTAGGGGTCCCTGAGGCCTGAGGGGAACCCCAGCACTAGGCCTCTCCTCTACCCAGAGGCTTCTGGTCAACTTCCCTTTCCCCACGTCCCTGCCCTGCGGGCCCCCGGGGTGACTACACAGATGGGTGGTGTTGCCCACTCCACACAGGGCTTTGCTGGGCATGGCGGGGGCCCATGGCCAAAGCACAGCATGCCAGGCAAAGAAGGGAGGCAGGCAGCTGGGCAGGGTACTCTGGGCTGAATACAAAAGAGTCAGGGGCAGTGGCTTTTGAGCCAGGCCTCCAGCATTGGTGTGGGAAGGAAGGAGGACATTTCTGAGGCAGGGAAGAGCCAGGCACTCATGAGTGGCCCAGGCTGGCCGGAGGCCTATGGGAAGGAGCCGTGCCTGGAGGCCCTGAATGCCTGGCTTAACCTATTCCAGAGCCAGGTGTGTGCTTGGGGACTGTAGAATGAAGATACAAACGACATGGAGTCCAGACCGGCCGTGCTCAGGGAGCCCTTGAAGGCGCTGAACAGGGCTGAGGGTAGTGAGAGCTGGCTCTAAAGTGACTGCTTGGTTACTGAGTGCAGGATGTGGGGAGGGAGGCGAAGGACAGGAGGCGGGGAGACAAACCGCTGCAGTGGGAGAGGAGGAGATGAAAAGAGGGCAAATGGGAAGAATGTGGTCCAGCAGAAACAGGCTGGACTTGGGGCTGAGCGAGGCAGGAGTCTGGGGAAGGGTAGGTGTGGTTGGGTTGGCTTCAGACACACTGATGGGATAGCATGGGACCCCTGGGCACAGAGATGTCCTGGAGCAAGCTGAAATGTGGACTTGGGGATGGCATCAGGGTGACAATGGGAATGGACAGGCTCTCTTCCAGGGACGTGGGGTCAGGGAGAGAAAAGGCCGTGGAAGAGGGTTGAGAAGGCACTGTCATGGAATTAAGGGCCAGTGGAAAGCTGTGTTCAAGATGGCAGAAATCAGGAGAGGCTGGAACCAAGAAAGTCCTGTCGGGTTGAGTTTGGGGAGGGCTCAGGGAAGGGACGGCCTCTTTGAGAAAAGTGGTGGCCAGGGAGGGTTGCAGCAGTGGTGAGCAGGTGAGCTGATCTGACAGCTCTGGACATTCAGAAGCCTTCGGGCTGCTATCAACCCCAGGACCTCACGGATGACACTATAGCGTGGGGTGGCAAAGTGATCCCACATGGCACAGGTGCCATGTGATTATATGGAGAAGGCGGGGTAAAAATGGCAATCAGGCCTTCCAGCCCAGAGTCTCAGAACTGAGGACGCCCTACAGCAGGAGGTAACGCTCAAGCTAGCTGGCCCTCCTCAATCAAGCTATCCTGCCATGTTCCACGTAGGGAAACGGAGAGCAGAGGGTCAGCCTTGGCCACCTAACAAAACCAGGGCCCAAGACCCCAGGCTGGGCCTCCAGTAATCAAGGGCCGGAACTGAGCTGACGGAGGCCTGCACCCTAGTTCCGGTGTGGGTGGAGGGGCCGGCCCTGATTTCGAAACTCGTCTTCCTCTCCTGACGCTGGCAGCCAAGTGCAGCCTCTGCAAAAGGGACTCGTGCGGCAGGCGAAGGCAGCCGTTCGCCGCGGGCGGTCCTCCGCCGGGACGGCTCTGCCGCTGCCTGAGCCTGCGCCCCTCTCTCCCCGAACTCCTATCCCTGACTTCAGGGCCCCGGGGGCCGCCTCCCCACATCGCTAGGCCTGCAGACACCGGCCAGGTGCCAGGGGAAGGTGCTTCCCACTCAGCCGGCGAGCACTTAGTGGCGTCTGCTAGTTGCTCGTCTCCAGGATAGGTGCTCGGTGATGCGAGGGGAGCCGGGGCTTCCCACTTCACCCGCACCCCCCGGCAGAGTCGGTGACCGCGGGACCTGGGGTAGGAAGACCGGGGCGAGCGAGGGGATCCGCGGGGGAAACGCAGGTATCACGGCTGTAGTAGGACCGCGGCCCGCCGCGCACGCGCGCGCAAGACCCAGGGGACCAGTGCCCGCCCCACCCGGGCCCCGCCTTTCCCTTCCGGACCCGCCACCGGGGGTCTGCGCAGGGCTCGGGGCGCCTCCTGCGGGCCGCGGGAGGAGCTGTAACCAGGTCTCGCCCTCCAGGCCGCCCCAGCGGACCCGGGCCCGACCGAGGTCGGGGTGCAGACCCAAGGTCGGGCATCTCCTCGGGCGCGCGGGCCCCAGCGCGCGCTGGCCTGGCCGCGGTTGCCATGGTTGCGGGGGGACGGGGCGCACGCGAAGCCCCGCCCCGGCCCGGCGCAGCCCCGCCCGCCCCGCTGCCCGCTCCGCCCTCCCTGCCGTCCGCGCTGCCGCCGCCGCCGCCGCTGCCGCCGCTACTGCTGCGGGGGCCGCGGGGGGCGCAGCTGGGGCGCGGCTCGGAGGGGAGGCTAGGGGGCCGTGCCAGGCTAGAAGCCGAGGCGGGGCCGGGATGCGGCGCTGAGGCCCAGCATGGCCAGCCCGTGCCCCACCTTCCCGCTGCACCGGCTCGTCTGGGCGAACCGGCATCGCGAACTGGAGGCCGCACTGCACAGCCACCAGGTGAGGCCCCGCTGAGGCACCCGGCCCGTCCCCCGGGTCCCCCACCCAAGGCTGTAGCCTCCGTCCTGGAGGCCGCCCGCCCCTGCTCAGCTCCGCAGCGACATCCTGGGCCTTCCTCCCCTGCACAATCCCAAGCCCAGATCACCGGCCCCTCGCGCTGGAGCCTCTGGCCTCGTCTATCCTGCGCTGGGCCTTGCCCTGCTCGCCCGAACTCGCTTCCGCATCCCCTCTAAGCCAGGCTGAGAACAAGAACCCTGGTCCTCGTCCCCAGGCTCCGACAAACTCCTGACATCTTACACCTCTGCCTGACCAGGCCCCGCCGCCAGACCCCCGGCTCTGCCCCTGCCCTCCCTCCTGCCCTCTCCTCTCCCCTGCCAGGCCACTCTCTGCCATCTCCCTGGTCAGTCTGCCGTCCTTGTTTCCCACAGCGATTCCCAACTCTGCTCGCCCTGGCAGCTTCCCTGCCTTGCCCTCTTCTCTCCTGCCCTTTTTGAGTGTCCCGTCTCCCCCAGCACGACATTGAACAGGAGGACCCCCGCGGGCGGACCCCGCTGGAGCTGGCCGTGTCTCTGGGAAACCTGGAGTCTGTGAGAGTGCTCCTTCGACACAATGCCAACGTGGGCAAAGAGAACCGCCAGGGCTGGGCAGGTACTGCAGAGGACAGGGGCTCCCCCTGAGGCTGGCAGGCGGGGGGCAGTGAGCAGCCAGGCCTGGGGTCATCTGGAGGGCTCCCCTCAGCAGCCTGGTGCCCGCAGTCCTGCAGGAGGCAGTCAGCACTGGAGACCCTGAGATGGTGCAGCTGGTGCTCCAGTATCGGGACTACCAGAGGGCTACACAGAGGCTGGCGGGCATTCCGGAACTGCTCAACAAACTTCGCCAGGTACAGCAGGGCACAATTATGGAGGTAGGGTACCATGGCAGGGCATCACCTGGTTACTGTGCCAGGCCTTGCCTTGGAAAGACACCCAGTTTGTGCAGTGTGCCTCCTGCCACCAGCGAGGAGGTCTATCTTGACCCCAGCTCAGGGTCACGTAGGAAAGAAAGACGGCCAGGCTCATGTGGGAGACACTGGGCCCTTTGGAAAAGAAGCCTTGTCAGCTTTGGGCCTCCTGAAGAATGCAGATTACCTGGAGCGGGGACTTCAGATTGACTCCGTGGATTATGGCCTGAGCCCCTGGAATACCTGCTACTATGCACCCTTCTGGAAGCACGCAGAGGGGCCTGGCTGGCAGAGCATACTACCTCATACCCCCTACCCGAGGAGCAGGCTCAGAGGGAGCCACTGTGCCCCCTTTACAGAGTAGGACTCTGAGACCCAGTGGAAGCAAAGGCTCCCCAGTGCCCTGCACAGGCTCATGGCCAGGTTGGGGCTGGCCCTCCACTTCCAGGTGCTTACAGCCTCATTGCCCGAAGACCATTGTAGGGCCCCACTTGGCCCACCCTCTCTCTTGGGCAGAGTGGTTGGGCGTAGTGGAGCCATAGCAGTGCATCAAGACTTGATGAAGGGCCAAGTGTTGTGGCTCACGCCTGTAATCCCAGCACTTTGGGAGGCCAAAGTGGGAGGATCACTTGAGCCCAGGAGTTCAAGACCAGCCTAGGCAACATGGCGAAACCCCGTCTCTACAAAAAATACAAAAATTAGCTGGGAGTGGTGGCACACACCTGTGGTCCCAGCTACTCAGGAGTCTGAGGTGGGAGAATCACCTGAGCCCAGGGAGGCAGAGGTTGCAGCGAGCTGAAATTGCACCACTGCACTCCAGCCTGGGTGACAGAGCAAGTCTCAAAAAAAAAAAAAAAAAAAGAAGGGCTGGGCTGGCTGTGGACAAGGGGCTTCTGGGCCTGCTGGAGACAGCAACAGGCAGGACCCTGATGAGCAGCTCTGGTTTCTCTTAGGCCCCCGATTTCTACGTGGAGATGAAGTGGGAGTTCACCAGCTGGGGTGAGTGGGGACCTCTGGGCTCCCAGGGATTTGGGGTGGGGCTTTTGGGAAGACCCCCAGTGACCCCTGTGCACCCTGCAGTGCCCCTTGTGTCCAAGATGTGCCCGAGCGATGTGTACCGCGTGTGGAAGCGGGGTGAAAGCCTGCGAGTAGACACCAGCCTCCTGGGCTTCGAGCACATGACCTGGCAGCGAGGCCGGAGGAGCTTCATCTTCAAGGGCCAGGGTGAGCTCTGGACACACTCACTGCAGCATCTCGGCCCTCAGGTTCTCCCGCGGCTTGGGAGGGCAGTGCTGCCCTTTCTCTCCACTTTCCAGATGTGGAAGCTGAGGTTGGGGAAGGAGGGGTATCCAGGGGCCAAGGCTGACCCACTTGGCAGCAGGCAGTTGAGAGTACATGATCGCCCTCTCTGCGCTGCTGGCATCCAGCTCTGATTTGCACCCCTCTGTCCACCCCCGCCGGCCGGCAGAGGCAGGAGCCCTGGTGATGGAGGTGGACCATGACCGGCAGGTGGTGCATGCGGAGACGCTGGGGCTCGCTCTGCAGGAGCCCGAAGCACTGCTGGCCGCCATGCGGCCCAGCGAGGAGCATGTGGCCAGCCGCCTCACCTCTCCTATCGTCTCCACCCACCTGGACACTCGTAATGTGGCCTTTGAGAGGTCGGTCGGGGCCTGGCACACGGTGGGTGGGATGGGGACAGACAGCAAGAGCCACCCTTAATGAGGGCAGGGCGATCCTTGAAGACCCTGGTTCAGGCCTCTGGGCTCACTCACCAGGGGCTGCTCAGGGGCAGGCGGGTTGCTGCAGCCCATGTCTCACTCAGACTGCCAGGGTAGTTGGGCTCCTGTGGCCACCTTTGTAGGGAGGGGTCAGGTCAAGATGTCCCCAGTTTCTTGACTTCTGACCTCATATGCTTTCCCATTAAGACAAAGATTTAGGCTGTGGTTCACGGCAGCTATTTGCACCAATGTTGGCTTGTCATTGGTGTGGCTGTGTTGGGGGCAGAATCCTTTGTGGGTAGCCTAGGAACCTGACCCTTCCAGCAAGAGCTTCTCTGACAACATATGCCCCCTCTTGCCTTAACAGTCAATGGAAACATTAAAAAAAAAAAAAAAAGCTTTATTGAGATACAAACTCATATACCATATACATCACCCATTTAAAGCGTACAGTTCAATGACTTTTAGTATATTTATTCACAGATTTGTACATCACCACAGTCAATTTTAGAACATTTTTATCACCTCACAAAGAAACCCCCCACCCTTGAGCTAACTCTTCGCCAAACTCCTCATCCCCTCTCCCAGTCCTGAGCAACCACTAATCTACTTTCTGTTTCTGTAGAATTCTCTATTCTGAGTTCTCATATGAATGGAATTTTATAGTATGTTGCCTTTTGTGTCTGGCTTCTTTCACTTAGTGTAATATATTCAAGGTTCATCCAAGTTGTAGCATGTAACTACCTCATTCCTTTTTGTGGTCATTGTATGAATATACCATATCTTGTTTATTGATTAGCCCATCAATAGACATTTGGGTTATTTGCATTATTTGGTGATTATGAATAATGCCACTCTTAAGTATTCATGTGCAAGTTTTTGTGTAGATGTATGTTTTAATTTCTCTTTCATATGTTTTCATTTCTCTTGGGTATATACCTAAGAGTAGAATTGCCAGGTTATTGATAACTCATTAGTTGAGAAACTGCCAGACTGTTTACCAAAGGAGCTGTACTGGTTTACATTCCTACCAGCAGCATGTGAGGGTTCCAGTTTCTCCACATCCTCATCAGCACTTGTTATTATTCACTCATTTGTTTTCGGAATCCAGCCAGCCTAGTGGGTGAGAAGTGATAGCTCACTGTGATTTTGATTTTCCTTTCCTTGATGACTAATGATGTTGAGCATCTTTTCATGTGCTTTTGTTTATTGGTCAGTTGTATATCTTTGCAGAAATGTCTATTCAGATCCTTTACCCGTTTTTTATTTAATTTAATTAACTTATTTTGAGATGGGGTCTGGCCTTTCACCCAGGATGGAGTGCAGTGACATGATCATGGCTCATTGCAACCTCGACCTCTCAGGCTCAAGTGATCTAAGTAGCTGGAAGTACAGGTTCATGCCGCCATGCCCAGCTAATTTTTAAATATTATTTGTAATTATTTTATTATATCATTTAATTATTTTGTTTAGTTATTTGTAGAGACAGGGTCTACAGACTGATCTTGAACTCTTAGGCTCAAGCGATCTGCCTACCTTGCCCCCCCAAAGTGCTGGTATTACAGGCATGAGCCACCACACCTGTCCCTTTACCCATTTTAAAAATTGGGTTGTCTTTTTGTTATTGAGTTGTAAGAGTTTTATAATTTTAGCTGTTACACTTAGGTCTTTGAGCCATTTTAAGTTGATTTTTGTGTATAGTGGAAGGTTCTCTTCCATGTGACTATCCAGTTGTCCTAGCCCCCTTTATTGAAAAGACTATGCTTTTCCCATTGAATGGTCTTGTCACCCTTGTTGAAAATCAGTTGACCATGGATAAATGGGTTACTTTCTGGCTCCCAAGTTAGTTCCATTGGTCTACATGTCTGTCTTTATGCCAATATTATACTACCTTAATCACTATTGCTTTGCAGTAAGTTTTGAAATTGGAAAGTGTGTCTTCCTACTTTGTTTTGCTTTTTCAGGGTTATGTCAATATTTTGGGACCCTTGCATTTTATATGAATTCTATTTTCTTTTTTCTCACAACCCAGTGTAGGCAGAATATATGAATTCTAGATTCAGCTTGTCAATTTCTACAGTCAGATGGGCTTCTGATAGGGATTGCACTGAATCTATAAAGCAGTTTGGGGAATAGTACCATGTAAACAATGTTAAGTCTTCTAATCCATGAACATGGGATGTTTTTCCGTTTATTTGGATCTTCTTTAATTTATTTCAACATTATTTTATAGTTTTCAGAGTGTAAGCTTTGCACTTCTTTTGTTACATTTATTCCCAAGTGTTTTATTCTTTTATTGTTTCTTTTTTTTGAGATGGAGTCTCACTCTATTGCCCAGGCTGGAGTGCAGTGGCAGACTCGGCTCACTGCAACCTCCACCTCCTGAGTTCAAGCGATTCCTCTGCCTCAGCCTCCCAAGTAGCTGGGATTCAGGTGCCCACCACCCGCCGCCTATTTTTGCATTTTAGTATAGAACAGGGTTCACCGTGTCAGACCAGGCTGATCTTGAACTCCTGACCTCAGGTGATCTGCCTACCTCAGCCTCCCAAAGCGCTGGGATTACAGGTGTGAGCCACCGCGCCCGCCACGAAGTGTTTTATTCTTTGATACAATTATGAATCAAATATTTTTCTTGGCCAGGCATGGTGGCTCACGTCCTGTAATCCCAGCACTTTGGGACCCAAGGTGGGTGGATCATGAGGTCAGGAGATCAAGACCATCTCCTGGCTAACATGGTGAAACCCTTCTCTA